ATATATGGCTTATAGCTTGAAGCCTTGTTGTTGAAGTTAATAATGACGCGGGTGGTCTTCACTTTCTTTGCCGAAGTTTAATGCCTATCTTCCCAGATATTGGTAGACATTTGCCCTTGTTTTTGATTTGGTTACGTGTTCTGTTTATTGCTGATATGAATAATGTATTACAAAATATTATTATAGTGTGTCTAAAGCTTGACATTCTGACAGTTCTTACCTGCAAGAAAAGTTATGGAGAAAGCCCAAAAGCTTAAAAGTGCCCTAACTAAAGAGATTCTGTCCGGCACGACATCTACAAATATACTTGCCATGACATTTAGACAAGTGCTTCTGCAGAATCTTTGGAACTTTGAACTGGTACTTTTTATACCAGGGGCAGAAAGAAATATGGATGATCTTGAAACACCGAGAGAGGTGGGGAACTTTTTATTTTTGGATGTTACCTATGCCTACTCCCTCCCTGTCTGTGTTTCTATCTTTTTAAACTGTCTTTCCATTCATTATGCTCTTTTGTAATATCAGATTTATAATGTCTGCCTTGCAGGTGCTACATGATACTGATAGGTTCAGTTCTGTTATTCCTTTCCTATCAGCAGGTACCTCCATCTTTTGCCATCACCTCATCAGATGAACGAGTCATTTCTGTTATTTCAGAGGTTATTTGTATTTCTTCTCTCGAAAGCACTAGAAGACATTTGCTTAACGAAACTCCTGGAGGGGCAGTGCAGAAGTTTTTCCCTTGGTTTCACAATCATAAATGTATTGTCTCAAAAGATTCCTCCGTTACTCTATACAACTTACTGGAATCTCAGATAGTTGCAAATGCCAATATTTTGCTCCAGAAATTTTCTTCAGAAAGGGCAAATTACAGACCAAGGGAGGGAAGATGGACGAGCAACTGGTTAACTTCAAGTGCATACTCCAAATTGGAACAAATTGGAGGCCCTGAATTTATTTCTTGGCTGAGCGAGTATGTACCCGCTTACAAATTGCAAATTGATGCTGAGAAGCTTGGCAATGTGAAATTTGAAGGGTGGAAGGAATCAGCAATAAACACATGGGAGGTTTTCCTGACTCACTCCCAAATGGTAACTCCATTTTCTCTGCATCTTTGTCTCTTACACCTCATTGAGGGTTAATGGGATGTATATTAGACAACAGCTACTTCATCAAAAAATACCATACAAAGATAATTACTTACCGTTGGTGTTTCATGTTGTTTTCGTGTTTGTGGACGATTATCCAGAGTTCCATGCATTTGATGAGTATTTGTTTCACTGTCTTGTGCTTTGCTCTGTTGATTAATTAATCCACAGCCATTAAATTTTTCCAATATTTATATGTGGCTTCCCTAGCATCAAAGGAAAAATAACCAGTCACCCAATGGGGATTTTGTAAGCTAATGCATTTGTAATAAATTTGCAAGTGGATTACCTTCTGCACATTTCACTTCTTCAGTTTCATTTCATTTTCGCTTCCATTGAAAACTCCAGTAAGTTCCACTCAAGATACTTTTCTTAATAGCTCTCTGATTCCATACATATAGTTACATTTTTTCATGTCAAGATTATTTAGACAAAGTTGTAGGTGCTGAAGATATTACCACTTGCACCTTGTTTTGGTCTTTCCTAAAGGCTTTATCCCCATAGCATAAGGATCTAAAATTTGCAACCTTGACTTCTCGGTGATACGTGTATTAGGTCATCCATGTTATTTTAGTTTAGAGGTCATGGATTCAAGCCGTGGAAACAACCTCTTGCAGAAATGCAGGGTAAGTTTGCGTATAATAGACCCTTGTGGTCCGACCCTTCCCCGGACCCCGCGCATAGCGGGAGCTTAGTGCACCCGGCTGCCCTTTTAAGCCCTCCTACTAGGTGTGTCATGTGTGTATTAATAGTGCAAGGAACTGGAGTCCATGAAGCCTAGACTTTCTCCAAATGCATCAAGTGCTTCGATCTACCTAGATGTTCCCCAAATGCAATGCCTTTTGGTCTGTTTATAAGTTTCAGATTAAGTTTTGTTGTCATCTAGTTGAACAATTTTCATGCAAACTCCACACTTGATGGGCATGTGATTATTTCTAACAGTTAATTGATCTTTTTTATTTTTTCAGGTTGGTCTAAGTGACATTCTAGATATATATTATGAAGATGTCTATACACTTCCCAACAAGCAGTTGTCATCCGGTGTTGTTGCAAAATCTTTCAATTCGCCCGATAACAAGGTTTGGCATGTACAAGGTCTTTATATGTCTGCTTTATTTGGTTTTGTCATGAAGTGATTTTCTTCTGTAAACAATCCCTTTTTTTAAAAAAAGAATTTAAATTTTGTAAAAGAACACAGATTTAATGAAGCATCCTTATAAAGTTAGCTACTTCAATTATTTGAACTACCTTTTGGGGGGGGGGGGGTTCCAA